GTCCCTTCCCACCCAAACCACTGCAGGACTCTGTGATTCCATGATTCACCTGACAAGTTCATCGCAGCTCTGGAATTTGTTGGTTTAAGGACAGTTCAAAGCAGCAGTGCAAAGGAGTTCAACACCCAGTTAAGGAGCATGGACAGAGCTTTTCCTGGCCAAGGATTCCAAAAGTTGCTGGAATTTGTTGGTGGAAAATCAAAGCCATGAATAGCAGGGAGCTGGAGACACAAGATCTCCCTGTCCCTGTCACCCTGTCCCTGTTATTCCCAAGAACACAACACAAAGCTGCAGAAATCTGCTTGAATATATTTCTATTATTTCTATTATTAATCAGCAGACTCCAGGCTAAGCCCTTCATGGAATAATTCAGCATCTTGCTCCTCTGTGAATTCCTCCAGATTAAAGAAGTGGCCCATGGAAGCACAGTAGGAGGCGGCCAGGAAAGAGAACATCCCACCCCAGGAGTTATAAAATCAATGTGCAATACAGGGCTTTAAAAATGCAGGGAAAACACCCTAGAAAAGTGTGGGCAGTCTGGTAAAAATTTCGTTTTTTAAAGTGAGTAAATGACTGAAGCGATGTCTGGAGCTGTGTAATTATTCTTGGTGCTGACACTGCAGGAAATTTTGGGGTGAATGTTTCCCAAGGCCAGGCTGGATGGGGCTTGGAGCCACCTGGGGCAGTGGAAAGTGTCCCTGCCCTGGCAGGGGATGGGATGGAATTTAAGGTCTTTTCCAACCCAAACCATTCCATCATTCCATGAATGGCTCTAGCAGCAGATGAATTGAGGAAAGTGAAAGCAGCCAACGAGCTCAGTGATGATTTGTAGGAATTTGCAAGAACTTTTCCTTCCCTGGTCAGTGGAATGAAAACTCTGCCTCAGGGCTGGGCTCTCAGGAATATTTCACCCTCAAATGCAACACAGGACATTTCTGTGTGAAGAAAATAACCCAAGTGTCTGGCAGTGTTTGATTTAAGGTCCTGAGGTGCTTCAGGTGGCTCAAAGGGAATGAGGGAAGGGGGGGGCTGCATTAGGAAAATGCTGCTGTGCCACAGCTCTACCATCAGAAACCGGTTTCCAGCAGAAATCAAATGAACACATCAGTTTTTCAGAGCACAGGCACTGCCCAGTGCCTGTGTTTGTGTTTGTGCTGTGATACCAAAAAGTGACATCCCCACCTCAGCCCAGGCTCCCCAGGACAGAAGGGAAATGGAATCCTGGAATGGTTTGGGTTGGAAAGAACCTTAAAGATCACCCCGTTCCAGCCCTAAAATTCCCACAGCTTATTCTGTCCTCTCCATCCTCTCCCCTCTTTGCTTCAAGTCCCTGAGGATCCTGAAGATCTTTAGTGGACAGGATAATCCATTATCAACCAGCTCACACCAGACCTGATCCTTCAAATTTCAATGCTGAACAAATTACAAGGAAAAAGTAAATCCTGCTAAAAATCCACTTCCCAGGGAGTAGGACACCAGCCCTGCTCAGCTCTGGGCTGTCCTGCCCTGTGCTGGGCACTCCTTAGGGATGAAATCCCTTTCCAAGGAGCATCCAGCAGTCCAGGACGAGGGCTTTGCTCCATAAATCCCATTTTTCCTCCCTGGCTGTGGCTATTTAAATATCTCAGGACACATCTTCAGCTGGGCTCAAGTGACCTTGCTCTCCTGGCTCAGCTGGAACCAGAGCAATTTCCAACAGGGGATGTCCTGGGACATTGATGGTGGGTTTGGGGTGACCCCACAGGACATCAGGGCTCCAGGATGGGTGTAAACCCTGCAGCTTGGACAGCCACACCACTGCCTGGTGGGGACCATAAAAATGAACCAAATCCTGATTTCCTGACTGTTTTCCCTCTCTGACAAAATTCCATCCCATGTTGCTGTTTGCCCTCCTTAAATGGGTACCACCAAGATCTAGTTAGGCTTGAACTGCTTAAACTTAAACCAGGTTTTATATTAAAAGCTCACCAAGATAAACCCCCTACAGGCTGATAAATAATCTGTAACAGTTCCAACCATGTTGCATTACCCGTCCACTGTCTTCATTCTGCTGCCTCTGTACAACATAAAAACCCCCGCCCAAACCTCGCTTTTATTCCACCCATCTGACTCAGTATTTTCTTAATATATTCAAATTAATTAATTATCATTGGCTCTGTTTTGATCTCCTTTCCCTGGGAACAGCCAGGTTGTTGTGCTACTCCACCCTCTGTTTTTTTTTCCTTTCTTCTTTATTTTTTAAGGAAGCTGCAGGACCCAATCTCACACTCCCGTCACTGCGGGCTTGTCAATAGTGGACAATTGAGATTAAAATCAATTCCATGGGAGTGCCCCTTCCTTCCCTCCTCCTGCCTCAATCCTGAGACATCAGCTTTGCTCCCAAGTAGAAGCTCTTGTTTGGTCAACTTTGAGGCAAAACCAGTTCTCCTTAAGCAGAAATATCAGCCTGCATTTCAAAATCTCCAGAGCAGAGATGGGCAGAAAGGGAAAAGGGATTAATTACTCATCAGAAAAGAGGGAACATCTCAGACTGATTTCCTTGACTCACTTTAACCTTCAAACTACCTTCAGGATAATGTAGCAGGAGCCCTGTGCCCCTGCATCTGATTAGAGAGCAGAAATGCACATTGCAAGGCTCTGTTTTTAATTAAAACAATTAATTTTATTTCAGAAATTCTGCACTAAACACCTCTATGAATGCCAACTTTTTCTCGTCTAAACATCCTGATTTTTAAAGCAATACATATATGTATATATACATATATATGAGATGTGTTGTGTTCCATAGAAGTTTGCATTGCTTGGTATCACTATTAAATAAATAAATCAAACCTAGCCCTGCTTGATTATAAAGCAACAATTTATTTTGCATACGAGGTAAATAGATTTCAAATACCAAGGTATTTAATAAGAGGGAGTTTTATTACAAAGTTCCATCTGCCAGTCCTTGTTTTCAGGAGATTAAAAGGATAATAAAAGCTCCCAAGCACCTCTGTTAACTGTGTATTTCCTTATACAGTGAGTTTTCCTTATGGATAAAACCATAATCTCTTACCCCCTCCCAGTCTTTATTATCAGGGAATAAAAAAACAACACTAATAAACCAGATCATAACATATCTTTTACCCTAAAAAGAAAGAAAATGCAATGCCCTGACAGGCAGGAATTTTATTTTGGCTCCCCATGAAATCCAAAAGGGTTTGTGCCTGTGGCAGAAACTTTCAGTAAAATTAATTAAGCCAGTTTAGAATCCGTGATTGCTTCATTAGCATAAAATCCTTGTCCTGTGTGTCTAATCTGAGACTCCAGAGGTGAGGCAGCGGCTGGAGCCGTGTTTGGGAGCAGAGCCTGGGGATAAATCCGAGCTCTGACTGCAGTGCTGCAGTCCTATGACAGCGTCATATTAATGAGCCAGCAGAGGTGCGAGGCTCCATGTGCTCGGCAAAGTTTAACCCTGGCCCTCAGAATTCCCCAGCTCTTGGTAGCCGCATGCATCCCACCAGCAATTGTCAGGGCAGTTTGTGAGGAGGGCTTTGCCTTTCGCCAGATCATCTGCTCAGAAATTCAGGCTGTGAACACAGACAGAGCCTTTTCTGCACCTTCAGAGCGAGGAATTCACTCTCCCCCCACAGCGTCCCTCTGCTTTTCCATGAGAGCTGTGGCAGGGGTTTTGGGGGTTTTTTTGGGAGGTGGGGGTTGGTTGTTTTATTTTATTTTTTTCTCTTTGAAGTTTACTAATCCATTTCCTCCATAGCTGTAATCTCTCCAGGAGGAGGTCAGAGCCTGGATGGCAGCCAGGCACGGTCATGCAGCCCGTACATAGTCTATTTTTCCCCATAAACGTAATTTCTAACAAGGTTTCAAACAATTTATTATTCATTCTGAGCAATGCACCAAGATCAAAGCGGGCGGGTGGAAGAAAAAGGGAAGAGAGGAAGGAAGGAAGAGAAGAAAAGAACCAAGAGCAAGGATTTGGGATGCCACGGGGGGTCTCCCAAACTCTTGCTGGCTGCCCGGCTGCTCCTGGGCTTCCCCCCGCTCCTCCCGCAGAGCAGCCGGAGCCAGTGCGGGGAGCGCTCGGTGCCGCAGAGCCCCGGCGAGCGCCCCCTCCCCCGCCCGCTGCGACCTTCACACGCCAGACCCCGCCTGAGGACAGGGGGGACAGAGGGGGACGGGGGGACAGGAGCCTCCCTACCCATCTGCGGCTCCCTGTGCCCCCTGGAATCCCCCGAGCCCCCGCGGCAGGCCGGTCCCCACCCCAGCCCGCCCGGCGGGAGCTGTCCGTGGTGATGGAGCCGCTGATTCCCATTCCCGGATCTCCATTCCCAGATCCCCATTCCCGGATCCCGCTGCCGGTTCCCCGTTCCCGGCCCTACCCTGCTCGGCAGCCCCCGGCAGCGGCCCAGGGCCGGCACCGCGCTCCGCTCTGCCGTGGGCGCTGCGGGAGAGAAAAGAGAGGAAGAGAGGGAGAAGAGCAAAAAGGAATTGAAGAAAGAGGGGAAAGAAGTGAAAGGAAGGAAAGCAAGAGAAGGAAAAAAATAAAATAAAGGGAATGGAGAAAATAAAGGGACGAATGGAAAGGAAGGGAGGAAAAAAGGAAGAGGGTGCTGGCCTAGGGAAGGGGGGAGAAGGAAGCAGGGCAAGAGGGAAGGAACACGGGAAAGGGAAGGGGGCAGCAGGGGGGAGAAAGGAGGAAGTAGGGGCAGCGGAGACAAGGGCGGGGTGGGTGGGGAAGAGAAAGGGGAGGCAGGGGCAAAGAGTGGAGGCAGCAAGGGGAAGGGGAGCGGGGAGGCGGCAGGAGCCGGGCAGGGCCGGCCGGGACGAGGCGAGGGACGGCAGGGGAAGGAAGGGGGAGCCAGGGCGGGGCTCTGGGCGGGGCGGGTCGGGGGGAGCCGCCCCCCGCACACGTGTGCGGGGCCGCCCCGCAGCCGCCCAGCCGGGCTATAAAAGGGGTGGCGGCGGCCGGAGGAGCCCCGCACCGCCGCCCCCAGCGTCCCACCATGAGCTACACCATGGAGCCCCTGGGCAATCCCTCGTACCGCCGGGTGACCGAGACCCGGGCCACCTACAGCCGCGCCAGCGCGTCCCCGTCCAGCGGCTTCCGCTCGCAGTCCTGGTCGAGGGGCTCGGGCAGCACCGTGTCCTCCTCCTACAAGCGCCCCAACCTGGGCGGCCCGCGGGCCGCCTACGGCTCCACGGTGCTGAGCTCGGCCGAGAGCCTGGACGTGAGCCAGTCCTCGCTGCTCAACGGCGCGGCCGAGCTCAAGCTGAGCCGCTCCAACGAGAAGGAGCAGCTGCAGGGGCTCAACGACCGCTTCGCCGGCTATATCGAGAAGGTGCATTACCTGGAGCAGCAGAACAAGGAGATCGAGGCGGAGCTGGCGGCGCTGCGGCAGAAACACGCCGGGCGGGCGCAGCTCAGCGACGCCTACGAGCAGGAGCTGCGGGAGCTGCGCGGGGCGCTGGAGCAGGTGAGCCACGAGAAGGCGCAGATCCAGCTGGACTCGGAGCACATCGAGGAGGACATCCAGCGCCTGCGGGAGCGCTTCGAGGATGAGGCGCGGCTCCGCGACGAGACGGAGGCGACGATCCGCGCCCTGCGCAAGGAGATGGAGGAGGCCTCGCTGATGCGAGCCGAGCTGGACAAGAAGGTGCAATCGCTGCAGGACGAGGTGGCCTTCCTGAGGGGCAACCACGAGGAGGAGGTGGCCGAGCTGCTGGCGCAGCTGCAGGCGTCCCACGCCACCGTGGAGAGGAAGGACTACCTGAAGACAGACCTGACGACGGCGCTGAAGGAGATCCGTGCCCAGCTCGAGTGTCAGTCCGACCACAACATGCACCAGGCCGAGGAGTGGTTCAAGTGCCGCTACGCCAAGCTCACCGAGGCGGCCGAGCAGAACAAGGAGGCGATCCGCTCCGCCAAGGAGGAGATCGCCGAGTACCGCCGCCAGCTCCAGTCCAAGAGCATCGAGCTCGAGTCGGTGCGCGGCACCAAGGAGTCGCTGGAGAGGCAGCTCAGCGACATCGAGGAGCGCCACAATAACGACCTCAGTACCTATCAGGTACCGGGGAGGCGGTGCGGGGCTGTCCCGAACCCAGCGGGGAGGCGGGGGGTGCCCGGTGCCGGCTGTGGAAGGAGGAAATGCGGGAAGTGCCCGGTGCCGGCTCCGCAGCGAGGGATGCGGAGGGCGGGGGAAGGATGCTACGGAGGGCGGTGGGAGCGGGTGGGTCCTGCTCTGATGCCGGCCCTGCCTCCCCGAGCGGTGGGAACAGTTTCTAAAAGTCCCCTCAGAGAAGTTCTGCCCACTGTGTCACCGCGTGAGGCGTTTCTCCGTGTCACAGGGGTTTTCTACGTCTCCCTTGCAGGACACGATTCACCAGCTGGAAAACGAGCTCAGAGGAACGAAGTGGGAAATGGCTCGTCACTTGAGGGAGTACCAGGACCTCCTCAATGTCAAGATGGCCCTGGACATCGAAATTGCTGCATACAGGTACGGTGGGCTCTTTGCAGACATGCCTGGAATATTAATAGCGCTGCAGATGCTGCTGCCTCAGGAAGCTTTACCACAGCTAAGAAATATCTGCGTGCAGCCAGCACGGGTAAAATGAGAGCTTGGCTAAATCGCTGCAGCCATTAGGCAGCCCAGTGAGAGCCCAGAAGGTCATTAGGGACCAGCTGATGAGGGGCAGAGCTGCCAGCGAGCCCCGTGGGCACAAGCACAGCGTGACTCAGTGCGGCGGCTCCCGTGCCGCATTCTGTCCTTGGCTGCACGAGCGGGAGATGCAGTGAAAGACGAGGTTATTTTTAATTCCTGCCTGCTTTGCAGATGCCAGGCATGCAGGGCTTGTCACCAGAGTTCCCTTTTATCGCCTGGGAGAGACAGTGAATTTGCTTGATCATGGTTTGAGGCAGCGAGTGCTGATCTGCCTGTCACAAATACTTTTGCTTTTCTTGCTCAACTTTCCTTCAGAGGCATCTGCTCTAATCTGGAGCTGAGCGTTGCTTGCTGTTGCCATCACCTGGCAGGTTCTTTTAGTCTCCTATATCATTTCAGAACTCTTGCTGGAGAGCTCCTGATTTTTCTGGGTCACAGGCTGAGATGAAAAACACTTGAATAGAAAAAAAGTGAAAACAACACAAAAACTCCCCCATCTCCAGATCTGTTGAAATTCCTGAGGTTGTTCAGACACACAGATACCCTGGGGGCTGTAGCTGGCTGCTGCCAAAGTCAGCTGAAGTCTCCAGTTCTCATATTCCCACAAAGAAAAGGTGGATGCCAAATTATTAAATTAGAACATGTTCCCTAATCAGCTGTGACAGGCTCAGACACAATATTTGATTTGGGTCTGTCGGCTGTGTCAAGTTCTGTTTGCCTAAGTCATAATGAATCCTTTGAAATTAGTTAGTTTGTCCAAATTCCTGCTGATTTATGCCCTAATGAAGCTTTCTGACAGTAAAGATGAATTTTAACTGATCACTGAAGGTGTCACACTTGCCACTAAGCAAAACCAAGCTAAAAACTGCTGAATGTGAGTTTTGCAAAAAAGCAGATTCAAGGAAAAGCTGGGGCTGTGAGCAGTGGGTGGCCCTGGTCAGTTCCAGCACATTCCATAGCAAACTGGTTCCATCCTGGTGGCAGGGGAATAGTACAGCAGGGAAATATTGTACAATCCTGGAATGGTTTGGGCTGGAAGAGACCTTAAATCCCATCCCAAAGCAGGGACACCTTCCACTATCCCGGGCTGCTCCGAGCCCCATCCAGCCTGGTCTTGGAAACTTCCAAGGATGGGACAGCCACAAATATGCCCATAGCTGTCCCTTATTTTGTTTTTTTTAAACTTGTTTTCTTTTTCTCTCTCCTCCTGATTCCCTTAGGAAGCTGCTGGAGGGTGAAGAGACAAGATTCAGTGCCTTCTCTGGAAGCATTACTGGTCCCATATTCACACACAGACAACCATCTGTCACAATAGCATCCACCAAAATCCAGAAAACAAAAATTGAACCACCAAAGCTGAAGGTCCAGCACAAGTTTGTAGAAGAAATCATTGAAGAGACGAAGGTGGAGGATGAGAAGTCTGAAATGGAAGATGCCCTGGCAGCCATTGCAGAAGAAATGGCAGCCAAGGCACAGCAAGAGGATCAGGAGGAAGAAAAAGCAGAAGAAGCTGCAGAGGAAGAAGTTTCTGAGAAGGCTCTTGCAGAGCAAGAAGCTGCACCTGAGGAGGAAGAGAAGGAGGAAGAGGAAGCGGAGGAGGAAGAAGAAGCTGCAAAATCTGATGCTGCGGAAGAAGGTGGCTCTGAAAAAGAAGAAATCGAGGAAAAGGAAGAAGGGGAGGAAGCTGAGGAAGAGGAGGAAAAACCTGAACCCAAGGGCAAAGCTGAAGAGGTACCAGCAAAGGCAGAGAAGGTCAAAACACCTCCCATAAAGTCCCCCCCGAAATCCCCAGTAACAGAGCCGGCCAAGGCCGCCCTGAAGGAAAAAGCTGTAGAAGCAGCCAAGGAGCCGAAGGTGGAGAAAGCAGAGAAGGTGGCCAAGGAGGAGGAGAAAGCGGCGTCTCCAGAGAAACCTGCCACACCAAAGGTGACCTCCCCGGAGAAGGCTGTGGCCCCGGAGAAGCTGGCACCACCTGAGAAGCTGGCAAGCCCAGAGAAGCCGCGCACTCCTGAGAAGCCCGTGACTCCCGAGAAATCTGTGGCTCCTGAGAAACGCCGGTCCCCTGAGAAGCCTCCCTCCCCTGGCAAGGGTGCCAAGGCTGTGGTGGAGGAGACCATCACTGTCACCAAGGTAATGAAAGTGAGCGCCGAGGCCGAGAAGGAGTCCAGGAAAGAGGACATTGCGGTCAATGGGGAGGTGGAGGAGAAGGAGGAGGAATCTAAAGAGAAGGAGGAGGAGGACAAGGGAGTGGTCACTAACGGCCTTGATGTGAGCCCCGTGGATGACAAGGCTGAGAAAATCGTAGTAACCAAAAAAGTGGAGAAAATCACAGGGGAGGGTGGGGACAGTGGCACCACGTTCATCACAAAATCGGTGACCGTCACTCAGAAGGTGGAGGAGCACGAAGAAAGCTTTGAGGAGAAGCTGGTGTCCACCAAGAAAGTGGAGAAAGTCACTTCACATGCTGTAGTAAAGGAGATTAAAGAGAGCGAATAAAACCAACCATAGCTAGAATTCAAGCCAATTCAAGAGCTTGGGTCGGTGCAAAAGGTTAAGCCATAGACAGCTGCAAAATGCATGTGGGTGACGGCTTCAAAGCAGATCGGGTTCTCTCACGGAGGCTCCAGACACACAGTATTTTACTTTTTTGTGCAATATAGGGAAGGGGGGGGGAATGCATGCAGGCTCAAGATGTACTCCCTCCACAGAGCTTGGGGATCTACAAAAAAAATACTCCTACTACTAGTGCATGAGATGAAATGTGCAGAGGAAGCTTTTCTGAATTTCCTGAGCTGTTGGAGGGACGTATCTGAGGAACAAGTTCAGACGTATTATGCAAAGAACCAACTGAGCCAAAACCAAACCGAAAACAGTAATAGAGTATTCATGAGAACCAGAACTCTCCTAGCCTTAAAAAAAAACAAAAAAAAAAAAAAACAAAAAAAAAGCTACTTATAACTAATTGTGTTTACCTCACTGGTGCAATTAGGGAGGACTTTTGCTCCTGGGAGAACCTTGTTGACATGCACAGTACGCAACCTTTTGTTGTTTGATGTAAAACAGTCACAGCAGTTCTTGCTCAATAAAGGTCAATATGAAAATGTGGCTTGTTCTGATGACTTTTTCCCCAGTTGAAACCCTCCCCTGAGCTGTATGCTCACTCCTGAATGGGAATGTAGTTGCGTGGGTTGAAAACTGCTGGAGGTTTTTTTTCCCCTTAGTGTTCTTGTTTGTCTAGGAGCTGGACTTTGATGGTGCTTGGGGGGTCCCATCCAGCTCAGGATGTTCTGTGGCTTGGGAATTGGATATGATGGACAAATTTCCTCTACCAACACAAAGGCTGGATTAAGAAGATAAGAGCCTTATCCCAAAATTTCTAGAAAGAGGAAACCATTGAACACCTCTGCCTGGCCTTGAGGTGCTTAGAGGGGTTGCTGTTGCTTTTTTTTTTTTTTAGGAAGAGGAAGGTCTCTAAACCCTCAATCCTGCTCATGTTGAGCCAAAAAATGTTAAAACCTGCTGTAAGTATGGTTTTCCTCCTTACGCCCCAACATCCACACATAGAGAGTCAAATTCCAAATAATTCCTTGATTTTCCTGCTGGAGAGAGGTATTATGAGCCACAGCTGGGTGTGGCACCAGTTTGTCACTGAATTGAGCAAAATCCCACTAAGGGAACTCAACCAAGCCACCACGAGGTCCTCAAAATGGGCTTGGTTCTGGTTATTTTATCCCCTCTTGCTTTAATTGTATGGGAACCTCCTTATTAATTCTCTGACTCCAATGATCAAAAAAGTCCAATGTGCCTCTAAACACAAAATTTGAAAATCAAAAATTAGCCTAAGGGTTTCAAACCCAACACTTTCTAATTCCCAGCAGCCAAGGGATGGCCTCTCCCAGGTTGGCTTTGTTAAGGGCAAAGCCAATCGAAAATTGCTCTATGTGGAAAAATAAATGGAGACAAATTAAACAAAAGGAAGAAGATAAAAGCCCCAGCTCCAATGTGGGAATTAATTGGTCATTATGGCATTAATTTTGTGTTTATTTCCCATTTTGAAAGGAAAATGGAGATTGCAGTTGCTGCCCCACCTCCTGTAACTCACAAAGAAATGCAAATAATTTTCAAGCCTGGATTCAGGTCATAGACTGAATCTGTTCTGAAATCTGTTACCTAATTGAGGGTCTGATCAAAATCTAGGATTTCCATGTGCCTTCAATTCTTCGCCCCATCAATAATTGAAGATCAAGGAGTTTTTAATTGAAAGGGCTCAGCGTGTTCTTCACTGGAGAAATGGTGGAGAGTCCACAACAGATAAGGCTTTCAAATAAATCAGGGTGTCTTTGTGGAGCCAACCAAAGGATGTTTCTCCTGCTGCTATCAATAATGGGAATCTGTGCTCCACAGCTTGGCTGCTGAGTGATGTTTAATTAAAGCAGAATTAAAAAAATTACATGGCAGCTCATCTGTGGTCATGTGTGGGTGTGACACAAAAATAACTTTACCTTTAGGAATAAGGAGTTCAGCACTCCCCTATTTTTGGTATCTGCACCAAACTGGGTTAAAACACAAGGTGCCCAAAGGTTTGTGAGAATTGAAAGTGTTTTCCGCTTGGATTTAAGCAAAATTTTCAAGAGAAGACCACAACTAAACCAGCGACCAATATTTAACATGGAATTATGCATGTGCTTCCAGGTAAGTTCTAGAAGCCACTAAAATGTCCCAAACTGCAAAACCCCTCCCACAGAACTGAAATTTAGGAATCTTCAGCATGGAGAGGAAGGGTCACCTTGCACTGTGGATTCAATGCTGGTGTTTGCAAGAGCCTCGGGAACATTTAATGTGTGCAGGTGGGATCCCAGCCAGGCTATTTTTCATGCTAGGATTCCTTTCCAGCTTCTTTCTCTTCAGTCCTGGTAGGACACAGCTCCAGGGACCTCCAAAATCGTGATTTGGGTGGGTTTGTTCCTGCTTGCACTTGGGGAATCCAGGATTGCAGCTGGACCAACCCCAGGGTGCATCCATTCCCTGGATGGTTTTGGGAGGCAAACTCTTGGCATGATGTGTTTCACAACATCTTCACTTCCCCCCTTACCCACCCAAAATATCTCACAGTTTGTACTTATCACCCACAACTGTATTTTCCCCCCTGCTCTAACACACTGGATTTGTGAATTTAGCCCATTTCCCACTGCAGATGTTCCCAGCAAATCCTAAGAGGAACAAGCAAGTGGTTAACACATTTCTAAATGTTTATAAATCCGTAAGAACTGATTAATATTTAATGGTGCCAAGAGGTTTTGTCTACTGACATCTGCAATCAAACAGTTTCAAAAGAGAGCACAATTCCCGGGCAAAGAAGCATAAATAGCATGTTATTTGCCTGTTCTGCACCAATTACTCCTCCAGACTGCACAGAACCAGTGAAGGGAATAATTATTTTCAGACAGAGAAGTTCATTAAACAATAAATAAAAAAATCCATGAAGGGAAAAATAATAATTAAAAGGAATTTACAAGGAGGACTTCAGCATTTTTTAAGGTGGGATATTCAGACCACTGTGACTTCAGGAGCTGGAGGGCTCTAAACAAGGTTCTTTTTCCTGTGCTGGGTTGTCAAGATGCCACAGTTATTTTACAGCATCCCAGAACAAAATTCCAGGTGGGAACAAACTGGGACGCATTACAAAACACAAATAGGATGCATTTGCCAGGGAGCTGAGTCAGGCACCAGAATTTTCTCCAGTCATCAGGGCTTGTGGTCTCCCCATTCGCATGTGGGCTTTATTCCTGCTTTTTCACAGTTAAAGTCTCCTTAACTAATCCAGGAAGGCAGCAAATGATGATTTGTTAATTATTTAGTTATTAGAAGGTGAATTTCAGGGATGTGGAGGTTCTGTACAGGTGTTCCCCTTGCTGAGGGGTGGGGGTGTGTGTGCATCTCATGGAGAGCATCCAGCACCTCCCTGGGTGCTCCCTGGGGTGAGATCTCAGCCTGAGCCAGACCCAAAGAGCAGGAAAAGCCCCCAGGACCCTTCTGGCTTGGCAGAGGTGAAGCTGCTACTGCAGCTGCAACTCTGGTGAAAGTTCCTCCCAAGCCTCCCTCTGCCAGCTTGTACTGCATTGCGTCAAAAGCAGTGCCTGGATTTCCCAAGGTGAGGTGAGTGCTGGAAGCAGGATCCACCCCACAGCCCTGGGAGCAGCTGGGAACCCGTGAACCCAAAATCCAGCCCAGGCTCCCTCCCAGCAGCCTGGGCAGCAGGGCTGGGGGCCCCAGCAGGTGCTCGCTGCAGAGTCAGCCCTGCTGCAGCTCCTGCTGGGGCTGACTCAGCCCTGCAGAGCTGCAATGCATTAAAAATAACCAAGGGAGCAGGGATCAGCCTGGGAACGGCAGCAGGAGAGAGAGGAGAGCTGCTGGAGCTCTGCAGGTGCTGCTCTGGAGCAGCACTGGCTGCACAGGGAGCTTTGCTTCCCAAAACAGAGAGTGATGCAAAGGGCTGAGGGAAGGAGGAGTTTGTCAGCAAGAAAAAGTTGTGAAAGAGGACAAAAATTTGGGTTTTGAAGAGTTAAAGGAGGTCAGAGTGCTTGGAGAAAGGCAGGACTTGATATATCATGGAATGGTTTGGGTTGGAAGGGACCCTAAAGCTCATCCAGTGCTACCCCTGCCATGGGCAGGGACACCTCCCACTGTCCCAGGGTGCTCCAAACCCCATCCAGCCTGGCCTTGGGCACTTCCAGGGCTCCTGGAGCAGCCACAGCTTCTCTGGGAATTCTATCTCTGCCCCTCAAGATCCTCTAAACAAAGAATTCCTTCCCAATATCCCATCTAAACCTCCTCCCTGTCAGTTTGAAGCGGTCCTCCCTTGTCCAGCCCCTCCACCCCTGGTCAGTGCTCTCTCCAGCCCAGCTCTCCAGCTCTGCTCTACCTTTAATGGTCCTGATGGGCTCTGGCCAGGGCTGGAAAAGGACTTTTGTCCCCAGGAGCAGCCCCTCTGTCCCAGGCTGGCCAGGCACCCTTCCTGCTGGAGCAGCCGGGCAGCTCCCCAGAGGCAGTGCTTGTTTCTGAGAACTAGCTCTCATTTCTTATCTCTGAGCAGCAGCCCCAACAGTCTGCCTGGGGAAGCTGGAGCTGGCACACCCCGGAGCAGCTCCCCTCCATCCCCCAACAGCTCTGAAAGCTCTCTGTAGAGAGCACTGCAAGCTCCCCCAAGCTCTCCTCGCCACTGCCCTGGAGATGGAAAAGGAATTCTGCTTTGTAACAACAGCTTGCCATTGACACAGGGCGAAAAAGCTCCCATTAAAAGCAGGAGGGAAATGTGGAAAGAAATATTTCAAGAGGTACTGTCGAAGGAAGTGAAAATTATTTTACTTGTTTTTCTTCTGGTTCTCAAAAGCATAAAAATCCCAGGAAAGAAGGGAAAAAAAGATTGGAGATGGCACTGGGGCTCTGTGAGCTACTGAAATTACTGCTTTTCTGAGTGGTTTCACCAAGCTTCTTTTTCTTTCTCTTGCTGCTTGGGAATGTGG